AGATGGAAATTTCACAACAACTTATTAGGGATCTTGCTTTTGACATTCGTGATCTAATCCAAAGGTTCTCTTTTCAGAACATATTTTGAAAGTTTCTTAATGATTGAGGGAGAGAGACTTACTTGTTTGTGAGCGTCTCTTTATTGCTTATCCAAAGGCATGAATTGATGGTGGTGATGATTATAATGGTTATTCAGATTTCGTGATTTAAGGACGAATCCACGAACCATGAACGCCTAAGGCTTCTCGCCTGAGGATTTGGAGACTTGCCAAGTGGTTCCTCACCCGTAGGATTTTGGAAATTGCCTAGGGGCTCCTCGCCTATAAGACTTTGGATTTGCCTAGGGGCTCCTTGCCTGTAGGACTTTGGATTTGCCTAGTGGTTCCTCACCGGTAGGACTTTGAATTTGCCTAGTGGTTCCTCACCGGTAGGACTTTGGATTTGCCTAGGGGCTCATCACCTGTAGGACTTTGAATTTGCCTAGAGGCTCTTCGCCTATGAGCCCTTGCCTGTAGGACTTTGAATTTGCGTAGGGGCTCCTCGCCTGTAGGACTTTGAATATGCCTAGTGGCTCCTCGCTAGTAGGTGTAACATCCTGAATTCGACCCACTTCCGGGATTAATGATATGGATACTTATTTCTCATTTCATTTTAGTAAGTCTCGCCTGGAACTGATCATTCTCGGGATACTGACCCATGGGGAATAGCTAACTAGGAAAAACGGTACGTGGACCCAAGAACTCGATCGTGAATCGAGGCCCGATTCTGAGAAACGACAGGGGAATATTTTGTGCCAATGTGGGTCGATCCAAGGAGAGTGACGGATTTGGTTTGGCCAACGACGTACGATCGGATCACGGGTGATTCCGCATGACCGAGAGTACGCGTGGTGAACAATCCCGAACTTATTCGGAACGATCGCGACCTCCAGAACTAGCGATAAATTCTCGCGTTCTCTTGGAAATCGAGACCGTCACGACTCGAGTAAACCTAGGTCGATACGCGTAACCCCTAAACAGCCGCTCGTTAGTGAGAGACGCTAAAATCGCATTTGAGCGGAATTAATCGTGGAATTGAGTCCGGACTTAGGTGTCGAATTTCACGGACGTACGCGACTATTTTGCAAGGACGACGTCGTATTAGTGTGGCCAAATATATTTAGGATCAGTGTGAGCGAAAAATGGAAATTTGGACCGGAATTGAAAAATTACCAAATTGCCCCTAAGCCTAATATGTTAATTCCGAATTTTGGAGATTTTAATTGGTCTAATCAGCCCCCAATAGTGCCGAAATCCTTGGACATTGGTGCCCCCGTCACTCTTGCTTATTCCTTAAGTGCCCCTAGATATTTTGTGTAAGAGCCCATCTTGGCCATTGATCTTGATTGGATGTGATTGGAGTTCAAATTCTAGCCATTGGATCAAGTCTTGAGTGGGGTAGGTAGGATAGACAATTTTAGTGGAGTTGGCCACCAACCCCCACTCACCATTTCCATCAAAACTCCCTCTCGCTCACTCTCTCCTCTCATTCTCATCATCACCATCACCGGCCACTCTCCCTGTGACATCCCAAAATTCCATTCGCTAGTTTAACGAACGTACGTAGTGGAACGTTACGTGGGAATTGAAATAATCGACGACGAGCTACGGAAGCATCAACTTCGGAAGACGTGGACGCTATTACGAAATTACCGTACCATTGCCTTGTCAACCAACGCAAAACCATCTTGACTTCTTAATGTCTTCCGTGCACATTATCCATTTTAGTCACATTTTCCTCTCAAGTCAAATTTCATGCACGCCTATTCCATGTGCCATGTTGCTGTTATCTATGTTTGTATGCCACGTTGGAAGCGTTTTCCCCAATCCACACCACCAGTACACTTATTCATTCGGTCACCTCCCTCATCACCGCCACTCACCCTTTTCTTCGTGCCACACTTGCCCCTTACACCATCACCGCCAGCTGCTCATCACCCCGGCCAGCTGTCCATTTGTTTTCTTCAGTCAACAATTATTCTGCCATCTTCTAAGTCTCCACGCCACTTGCTTCTATCACTAACAGCATCATCATCACCACAGCCCAGCTGTCTCGCCCAGCTGTCCCATATTTTCTCCAGTCAACAAAATTCTGCTCTTCCTCAGTCAATCGGCGAAAGAGAATCGTCCAGCAACGCCCCCAAGCCTCTGATTTTTCTTCACTATCGCCGACCTATTCTTCTTCTTCTTCCCTTCTCATTCGGTACCGCCCAAAACAGAACCTCTTCCTCCGTTGGTTCTCTTCTGTTCTGAATCAAGTTCATTGCCCGACACCACCAGCTTGCTGTCCATCCTAGCGAGCCGTTTCCAGACCTTCACGCCGCCAAGTTCCTTCTCACCGTGGGCTTGAGGTGCAACGAAAGGCTTGAGAAGAATTGTCTGTGGTCCCGAACCGCGCCGCGCCGTATTCAGCCGTTAAGGCAAGTGAAATTCTGCCTTCCCTATACTAGATCGGAATGGGTTGCATGTTGGCGTGGCTTTAGGATATTGATGGAAATGGATGGTGGTGATGGAAATTAGCTGCTGGTTTGGGTGTTTTTGAACACCAAAATTCGTGTAGATCAGGTCATGGGCTGTTCTTGAACTTGAGTGTGATTTCCAGATTCAGTTTCTACTGGACCTTTACTGCTTTCCAATTTTGTAGAGATTTCTGTGGTTAGAATTTTGCAAGACTTCCTTCATGAAAGTTGTTCAAAACATCTGGTAGTATAACATATTTTAATTTCAGAATTTTCGGAGTTGTTTTACGTAACACGAACGCCAAATCTCTAACCCGTGCCGACTGCCGTGGTGCTCTGTTTCAGTGACCTTTCCACATTCTTGTTTTTTTATAAAATTTTCTAGAATGATTCTGAACAAACTTGCTTCACAAAAGTTTTTGAGGATGTCTTTATCTACAACATATTTAAATTTCATAATTTTTGGAGAGGATTTGGATACTGAAATGAACTCATTTTGAGAGGCAAGGATTCTGTCCCGATGAACAGTTTTTAGTCTGATTTTAAGCCCTCGAACGAGGCATTTACAGAAATAATTAGACTTTGAATCCTTCATGAAAAATGTTTATCAAGGTGTCTTCGGTGACATATCCAAAGTTTAGAATTTCTAAAGCTCATTCACTATTTATTTAAGTCTGATTTTAAAACCGGTGCAAGACTGCCCAGTTTTACCAATTTATAAGGATTTAATATTTTCCACATGAAATTGCTGGAATCTCAATTTGATGTCTTCTGGAGATGAAATTTATTAACTCTGATCTTTCCAATGAGTCATGCTAGACCTTGATATGGTTAGCCACGTGTCGTGGGATGTGTTGTTGACGATTAGTCAAAGCAGTGCTTTAGTGAACGAGACCGCAAAGGCGACTTACAATATGTCTTGCTAAAGTGGTAAACTGTGAATTATGTGATATTGAGAAAGGATGATTTTGTTGTTGATGAACTGTGTACAGCATGAAATGATTAGTTTGTGTGGGCTTGCTGGTTTATTAAATGCCGTCGTTGAGTGAACCGACGATGCCCCGAGGAGCCGTAGGGAATGCGGGATGCCGTGGTCAGTGGACTACGATGCCTAGGATGAGAATGCCCTAGATGCCCCGGGAGTTTGATCGGGATGCCGTGGTCAGTGGATCACGAAGCCTGCGCGGGCCGTTGAAAATTCCGGCGTACACCGCGGCGGATCGGAGTGCGCACCGAATCCCGCTAGACGGGAGTGTTCCTCCTTGCGTGTCCAGCGAGCGCACCGGGCATGTGACTTGGAGTGAGATAATGATACCCAAGCAAGAGTGAAGTTATGTGTGTATGTTTGAGTCGTGCTGTTGATTGCGATTGCTGAGTTAAAGTATCACACTTGAGATGATTACTAGCATGAGCACAACAAAATATGATTTTTATGATTAGTAAGTCTAGCTAGAAGACTGTGATACCTATGCTCGTTGATATGTATTCTATTCTTATTTGGTATAGGTTGACAGATATTTTACTTGTTGAGCCTAGCTCACTGTTGTTGTGACAAACTTTTACAGATCTTTAGCTATGCCTATCCTACCTGCCTCCTCCTCAGTTAGCTATGGTGCCCCGATCGACTTCTCAGGACATCTATCAGAGTTCGAGATTCCTGATGTCCCCGGGATAGTGTTCGTGTGATGTATCTCAGTATTGACTGTAGATGTTGGGCCCCCTGTCGGATCTATATTGTTAGGTTTTTTGGCAGTGTATGCTCGTGTTGGGGGGGCGACTGATAGGGCCCTTACCGTACGTGTCCGACGACGGGGATGACGATGCTTCTAGTGGGGTGGAGTGAGCTGTAGTTGGAGGATGGGGAGGATCATTTTTGGGACATGTGACCGACACTTTTTGGGATAGGGTCACGTGATAGGTGATACGCTTTTGATAGATGAAATGGTGAGTCTTATGTTGATAGGATAGTGATGGGAGTAGCACTGTACATAACCTCCCTAGTATGAACTCACCCTTGTATCATCCATGTTTATAAATAAAGAATGTTGAAGTTTAGTGAGAGTGTTATCTTTCTTTTTTGTTTTATTAGTTATAAATTCAAGTTTTAAATGCTTTTTAAAAAAAGAAAAGAAACGTTTCCGTGTGCGAACTCTTATAACCGCGTGAGGTTAGGTTGACATATAGGAAGGGGCGTGCCTGGGATGCCACAGCCGCTTTTATTGGTATCAGAGTATAGGTTTACATTGGAGTGATAAGGTGAAGCTTGCATTGGAGGGATAAGGTTGGTTATATGGGAGTGATAAGGTGCTTTAGCGATGAACAAGCTAAGATGTGTCCACCCTAGGACTTCTAATGCATGTGTTTATTAGCATTGTGTTAGGGAGATACAAGTAACTATGGTTACTTATGTGATGTCAGTAACGTTTGTTGCTTATTGGTTAGCTATGACAATTGATCAGCCATAGTAACTGGTGATCAATTTGCAGAACTGGGTAATACGAGATGGTGAGGTCTGGTGCACCATCTTCTAGTGCTGCTCAAGGAAGAGACCCTCGAGTAGATGGAATCTTGGAAGTATTGGCCAATGTAGGGACATTGTTTGAGCAACAAGCCCAGCAGCAAGCGGTAACAGGGAATGGTGATCACCGTGTGCAAGGACTTATTGAACAATTCCTGAAATTGAAACCAAGTAAGTTTGCTGGAGTGGGAGACCCCAACGAGGCCGAAAGATGGATACGTAGTTTGGAGAAAATATTCAACCTGTTGACTTGTACCGATACTGAGAAGATACTTTTGGCTGAGTATCAACTGGAAGGAAATGCGGAACACTGGTGGAGAGCATCGAAAGAAGTAGTGTTTCCCACGGGTACGGAAATAGCTTGGGAGAAGTTTGTGGAGACATTTTATGAGAAGTATTTTTCTGACTGTGCTAAAGATCAGAAAATAGCAGAGTTCATACAGTTATGTCAGAATAATATGACGGTGGATCAGTATGAGGCTAAGTTTTCTGAACTATCTAGGTTTGCGCCTCGTATGGTGGAAAATAGAGAGGATAAAGCCAAGAGATTTTTGAATGGGCTAAGAACTGATATCAGAAGGCAGTTAGTACCCTTCGATATAAGGGACTATAATGTACTTTACAAACGTGCCCAACTCATTGAACAGGAGTTGACGAAAGGAGAACTAGAGGCCATGGGACAGGGTAAGGCAAGTCATCAAGCTACACGGGATAATGTCAGATTTGGCAAAAGGCCCCTCCAGTTTGGAAAACCTTCTTTTGTCCATAATAAGAGACGCAACAACATGAGATCATGGAATAACCAGTCGATGGAGCAGAGGTCATTCCCAAATGGAAACTGCCGTCAGTGTGGAAGACAACACGGGAATGCGCCGTGTCCAATGCTAAAGAGGTGTTTTGGGTGTGGACAACCCGGTCATGTTGTTAAAGATTGCCCTCAAGGGAGACCACAACTTAGTGCACCGCCAGCGCGGCAATTACAACGACCAACTCAGGGCGGAGTACCACCACCAAGAAATTTGCAAAGGCCGCCGACGCAAGGAAAAGTGTATGCGATCACTCAGGAGGAAGCGGAAGCTTCCAAGACTGTTATTTCAGGTACGCTCTCCTTGTGTGATCAGCTGGCATACGCATTATTTGATACGGGTGCTACGCATTCCTTTGTATCTGCAAGATTTATGCGATTAGTTGGATTGAAGTCTGAATTGCTTGAAGTGCCTTTGAGCGTCTCTATACCTCTAAAGGATATGAAATTATCAACATTGGCATGTAGGGATTGTAAGATCTCTATAGGTGGATTGGATCAGAGGATAGATCTGGTAGTTTTAGTTATGTACAACTTTGACTTTATCATAGGAATGGATTGGCTTAGTAAGCAACGGGCCAATGTAGATTGTTATGAGAAGGTGATTCAGTTTAACCTACCAGGTCACCCTAGCTTTGAATTTGTCGGGAATGGAATGAATTCTTCATTGCCACTTATCTCAGCACTCGAGGCACATAGACTCCTCAATAATGGTTGTCGAGGATACTTAGCAATGGTTAGGGATCAAGTTAAGAAGGAATTGAAACTTGAGGAAATTCCTGTGATCCAAGAATTTCCGGATGTATTTCCTGAAGAGTTGCCAGGAATACCACCGGAACGAGAAGTTGAATTTGTTATAGAATTGTCCTCAGGAGCAGAGCCCATTTCGAAAGCCCCCTATAGGATGGCATTAACGGAGCTAAAGGAGTTAAAAGTACAATTACAAGAATTGCTTGATAAAGGATTTATTCGGCCAAGTGCATCACCATGGGGCGCACCTGTCTTATTTGTAAAGAAGAAGGATGGATCGATGCGTCTCTGCATCGACTATAGGCAACTAAATCAGATCACGATCAAGAACAAGTATCCTTTGCCTAGAATTGATGACCTATTTGACCAATTGCAGGGGGCATCCGTATTCTCAAAGATTGACTTAAGATCAGGCTATCATCAACTCAGGATTAAGAAGGAAGACATTCCTAAAACGGCATTCAGGACGCGATATGGACATTATGAGTTCTTGGTAATGCCATTCGGGTTGACTAACGCGCCAGCTGCATTCATGGATTTAATGAATAGAGTGTTTAAACCCTATTTGGATCAATTCGTGATAGTTTTCATTGATGATATTCTGATATACTCGAAAGGACCGGAAGAGCATGAACGACACCTAAGAGTTACAATGCAGACTCTAAGAGAGCATAAGTTGTATGCGAAGTTTAGTAAGTGTGAGTTTTGGTTGTATCAAGTGGCCTTTCTGGGTCACATAATAACTGGAGAAGGTATAACAGTTGATCTAGCTAAAATTGAAGCGATAGTCAATTGGCCTAGACCAACGACAGTAACAGAGATTCGAAGTTTCTTAGGACTTGCTGGTTACTATCGGAGATTCGTAGAAGGATTTTCACGTCTGGCTAGTCCATTGACTCAATTGACGAGGAAGGACATGAAATTGGAATGGAACGACGAGTGTGAACGAAGTTTTCAAGAACTTAAGAGAAAATTGACTACTACCCCAATTCTGACAATACCGGAAGGATTTGTTGTGTATAGCGACGCCTCCCACAAGGGCCTTGGGTGTGTTTTAATGCAACATGGGAAGGTCATCGCTTATGCCTCAAGACAACTAAAACCGTATGAGTTAAATTATCCGACACATGACTTAGCATTGGCAGCAATTGTCTTTGCATTGAAGATTTGGAGACATTATTTATATGGAGGAAAGTTTGAAATTTATACAGATCATAAGAGTCTGAAGTATCTGTTTTCTCAGAAGGAGTTAAACATGAGATAGAGAAGGTGGATGGAGTTATTAAAGGATTACGATTGTGAAATCTTATACCATCCAGGGAAAGCCAATAAAGTGGCAGATGCTCTTAGTCGAAAGTGTGCTTTGACTGTGGTGAGTCTGATGGTCAAGGAATGGTGTTTACTTGAGAAGGCTTCAGAATTTGACTTTAAACTTGAGATTGAGGATCTTTCCAGTGTATTGGCTACGATGAGAATTGAGCCTGTAATTATACAGAGAATTAAAGCAATACAGCAAACGGACGCCGAGATCTCAAAGGTCCGGGAAGAAATCGTGAAAGGAAAGAAGTCAGAATTTCACATAACGGATGAAGGAGTTGTGAAATTACGTGGACGCATATGCGTGCCTGACAATGAAGAATTAAAGCGGGAAATCTTGACGGAGGCCCATCGGAGTAATTATAGTATTCATCCTGGGAATACGAAGATGTACCATAATCTTCGTCAATATTATTGGTGGAATGGAATGAAGTCGGATATATCCAAACATGTTGCAAGGTGTTTAACGTGTCAACAAGTCAAGGCAGAGCATCGTAAACCAGCTGGAATGCTGAAACCTTTAGAAATTCCCGAATGGAAATGGAAACATATAACAATGGATTTCGTGCAAGGTTTACCAAGGACATCAAGTGGTCACGATTCCATCTGGGTGATTGTAGATCGTTTGACTAAGTCTGCTCATTTTCTGGCAGTACGAATAGACTATTCACTTGAGAAGTATGCAGACTTATATGTTAAACATATAGTGCGATTGCACGGAGTGCCTGTGACCATCACGTCAGACCGAGACCCAAGATTCACTTCGAACTTCTGGAAGAGTCTCCAGGTGGCTCTGGGGACTAAGCTTCAGTATAGTACCGCATTTCATCCTCAAACGGATGGACAGTCAGAACGAGTAATACAAATATTAGAGGATATGTTACAGGCTTGCGTTATTGATTTCAAAGGCAACTGGGATGAGAAGCTATCTTTAGTGGAGTTTGCATATAATAATAGTTTTCAGAAAAGTATTCAAATGGCTCCATTTGAAGCCTTGTATGGAAGAGCCTGTAGGACCCCAGTCTGTTGGGACGAAGTAGGAGAGAGAAAGTTGATAGGACCAGAATTAGTACAAGTCACGATGGAAACCGTGAAACTGATACGAGATAAGCTCAAAACCGCCCAAAGTCGACAGAAAAGTTATGCCGACAGACGTCGGAGACCCTTAGAGTTCAAGGTGGGTGACCATGTGTTCTTGAAAGTATCACCAATGAAAGGTATATCAAGGTTTGGAAAGAAAGGAAAATTGAGTCCCAGGTTTGTAGGACCTTTTGAAATACTCGAGAGAATCGGAGAATTGGCATATCGGTTAGCATTACCACCAAAGCTCACTAATATACATGATGTATTTCATGTATCAATGTTGAGGAAATACGAGCCTGACTCATCACACGTGCTAGATTTTGAGACCATAGAGGTTGACGACAAGGTAAAATACATTGAGAGACCAATACAGATATTGGATCGTGGCGAGCGGACTCTCAGAAATAAAACCATTTCTCTTGTTAAAATTCTGTGGCAACATCACGGTGATGAGGAAGCTACATGGGAAAGTGAAGAAGAGATGAGACTTCGGTACCCACAATTGTTTGAAGGAACAAGTAAGGACCCAAATTTCGAGGACGAAATTTCATAAGGTGGAGAGAGTTGTGACATCCCAAAATTCCATTCGCTAGTTTAACGAACGTACATAGTGGAACGTTACGTGGGAATTTAAATAATCGACGACGAGCTACGGAAGCATCAACTTCGGAAGACGCGGACGCTATTACGAAATTACCGTACCATTGCCTTGTCAACCAACGCAAAACCATCTTGACTTCTTAATGTCTTCCGTGCACATTATCCATTTTAGTCACATTTTCCTCTCAAGTCAAATTTCATGCACGCCTATTCCATGTGCCATGTTGCTGTTATCTATGTTTGTATGCCACGTTGGAAGCGTTTTCCCCAATCCACACCACCAGTACACTTATTCATTCGGTCACCTCCCTCATCACCGCCACTCACCCTTTTCTTCGTGCCACACTTGCCCCTTACACCATCACCGCCAGCTGCTCATCACCCCGGCCAGCTGTCCATTTGTTTTCTTCAGTCAACAATTATTCTGCCATCTTCTAAGTCTCCACGCCACTTGCTTCTATCACTAACAGCATCATCATCACCACAGCCCAGCTGTCCCGCCCAGCTGTCCCATATTTTCTCCAGTCAACAAAATTCTGCTCTTCCTCAGTCAACCGGCGAAGGAGAATCGTCCAGCAAAGCCCCCAAGCCTCTGATTTTTCTTCACTATCGCCGACCTATTCTTCTTCTTCTTCTTCCCTTCTCATTCGGTACCGCCCAAAACAGAACCTCTTCCTCCGTTGGTTCTCTTCTGTTCTGAATCAAGTTCATTGCCCGACACCACCAGCTTGCTGTCCATCCTAGCGAGCCGTTTCCAGACCTTCACGCCGCCAAGTTCCTTCTCACCGTGGGCTTGAGGTGCAACGAAAGGCTTGAGAAGAATTTTCTGTGGTCCCGAACTGCGCCGCGCCGTATTCAGCCGTTAAGGCAAGTGAAATTCTGCCTTCCCTATACTAGATCGGAATGGGTTGCATGTTGGCGTGGCTTTAGGATATTGATGGAAATGGATGGTGGTGATGGAAATTAGCTGCTGGTTTGGGTGTTTTTGAACACCAAAATTCGTGTAGATCAGGTCATGGGCTGTTCTTGAACTTGAGTGTGATTTCCAGATTCAGTTTCTACTGGACTTTTACTGCTTTCCAATTTTGTAGAGATTTCTGTGGTTAGAATTTTGCAAGACTTCCTTCATGAAAGTTGTTCAAAACATCTGGTATTATAACATATTTTAATTTCAGAATTTTCGGAGTTGTTTTACGTAACACGAACGCCAAATCTCTAACCCGTGCCGACTGCCCTGGTGCTCTGTTTCAGTGACCTTTCCACATTCTTGTTTTTTTATAAAATTTTCTAGAATGATTCTGAACAAACTTACTTCACAAAATTTTTTGAGGATGTCTTTATCTACAACATATTTAAATTTCATAATTTTTGGAGAGGATTTGGATACTGAAATGAACTCATTTTGAGAGGCAAGGATTCTGTCCCGATGAACAGTTTTTAGTCTGATTTTAAGCCCCCGAACGAGGCATTTACAGAAATAATTAGACTTTGAATCCTTCATGAAAAATGTTTATCAAGGTGTCTTCGGTGACATATCCAAATTTTAGAATTTCTAAAGCTCATTCACTATTTATTTAAGTCTGATTTTAAAACCGGTGCAAGACTGCCCAGTTTTACCAATTTATAAGGATTTAATATTTTCCACATGAAATTGCTGGAATCTCAATTTGATGTCTTCTGGAGATGAAATGTATTAACTCTGATCTTTCCAATGAGTC